AAAATTGAAATTTTTATCATTTATTTTATAATACATTTCCATATATTTTTATTAGAGCACAGATATATTACAAAAATACTACTATTTATTAAAATAACTTATGATCCAGATAGTAAACCGTCATCAAATTTGTCGTATTATTTTTAAAAGTGATTTAAAATAATTTGTAATTTTTTCATAATTTTGTTATTATTTTGAAAATATAGATAAAACATTTTTAATTAATTTGTTAATTAATTAGTCGTTGTCTAGAAAATTCGATTCTAAAGTGGAATAAACTAGGAAGTGACGGAAATTTTAGGTTAATTGTATGTTTCTTCTTTTGCTCTCTCTCTCTCTCTCTCTCTCTCTCTCTCTCTTTCTACGTGTGGTAAGCCAATTTACACTAGACATTCGGTGTGCCAAACATTAGGTGTGGTTGGACAATCTTTGTCTCCGCGAGATAGCATGCATCATGTATGCGTGGACGCGCGTCCGTCTAGTGGTAAAGTCTCCTCGGAATATACGGGAGCAGATTTTCCATCCACGTATAAATTTATATCGGACAAAAGGGGAATAGAAAACTGAAAGAGAAAGAAGAATAAAAGAACCCACGTACGATGTCGCGTAGATGCGCGATCTAATTTTTTTTTAAATAACAGAGTTATGTGACGGAGATATGTGAGAGATTTTCACATCTTGGATTTCATAATTGTATACTTCGAGAAATGTAATTAAGGCTCCTATTTAAAGTTTCGTTGACGTACAATTTATACTTGTGTGAAACTGTGAATAATAATAGTAACTCTACTCAAACTCCGTTTACTTAAATATTAATAATTTCTAGTATTCAAGAGCTATTGAAATCTCTATCATTAAAGGGACGACATTTCTTCTTTAACATTTATATATAATATGAGAGGATAAGAAGAGAGAAGACGAACAACGCCGGAAATGCTCTGGATGTCGTTCCCGAGAAAAAAGTTTGCGCATCCCAGTGTGGTTTTTTGCGGTGTCTGGACATAATAAAATAACGCGCACAGGGGCGTATAACGAATTGAATTTCTGCAGGAATGACCCGAGGCGTGCGTCGCAGAAGGGTGTATTCCGACAGAAATACATATATATATATATATATACAGACACATCCCTGTTCGCGAAGTTATAATAAATTCAAAGCGAATGAGGACACAGTGGCGGGCGGGAGTGGCTCTCGGGTTACGTCTGGATTTCGCATGGAATATTCCACACGCGAATTCAAAACCCTCGGTTTGTGTTAAAAGTGTCTAAAAGCTGGCCACTAAAGTACGGAGGCCTCGTCAGGTGATTTCAAGTCATTCGGGAATATATAAAACACAGAACTTTTCTATTACGACTTTTCTTAAGTTTGCCAAAAGATTCCTCCTGCAGGCATATTTATCACAATTTTTGCTATATTCATTCTGTTGCATTGTCTGTTATTCTTTAATTTTATTTTTAATACGCGTTTATCTCGTAACATTGATGTCTCTTTGTCATATATCGATCCCATTTACTATTAATAGTATTGACACCATCAGCTTTTAATTTCAAAAGAGGAAATTTCGACGAATATCGTGCTATAACTTTATAGTCTCTTTATTGCTTATCTCATACTAATCTTATTTTAATTATACTGAAAAGTTGTTTTTTATTAATTAAACTACACAGTCGAATCTTATATCTTAACTTTTTTAACTTGTTATTTATGTATGAACTTTATAACCGACTCTTACATATCTATTTCTGTTATTTATATTGTTAATTTAATATCAAGATTCCTTGTATTGATTAATTTATTTTTAACAAATTACAATGCTTGTCCATTATTTCTTTTTTTTATTTACCTTTTCTTTTCTATCTATATATGTATATGTATAATTAATTAGAAATATGTCTTCTCTGTATTGTGATGTCGTTTTTATTTAATTTTGATGAGGAATTCGATGTTTTTAATGATAATTTATGGTAAAAACGTGACACTTCAAGACAAAAGAATGCGTAAATATACATTCTTTTCTCCGAAGAAGAGGCTTATTTTCACTTCATTACTTCACACACGTAATAACTAATGGACCACTTTTATTTATCTTGTCCGTCTCTAATAGACGGTGTGGCATTATGTACTTTCGCTGAGAAACTGCAATAATAATGTAGTCTTAAATCAGCCAATGTACGCACAGTGAAGAGAACGTTTTGTGTAGATCCTTTTTGATATGATAATATCAGAAAAGGATAAAGTCCACGTTCGTAGGAAACATTAACATAAGTTTTGGTACGCGAGGTGAAAAAGTGGAATCATCCGTTATCTTGATCTCGTCTGATGAATAACAAAATGGTAAAAAAAACTTCAGGCAATTTATCTGGCTTTGTGACTGAATTTGTATTATAAAAATAGCGCAATGCCGATATTAATCTTTTATACTACTTCTAAATTAACGAGTTTACGTATTATCCAAATGAAAGCTTTACCGATATTCATTATATTCTTTCACTCATCGATTAAATTTTTTTTGAAATATGTATTTTTTCATTTATATACTAATAATACTAATGATTTAAAATATTTAAATTAATAATATAAATGATTTAATTGTTTTTAACTCTTGAAAGAAAAATTCAGCGAATTGCATCATGAAATCTCTTTGCAAATTCCGGGTGACAGTATTTACATACAAATAATTTTTTTCTTCTGAAAAATATTTCGTAAAATATGCGTATTGTATATTTTATAAATATAAATATACGTAAAAAAACTATAAATGTACATATATAGTAAATCTGCAATAAATTATAAATTGGCGCTTGGTATATTAGTGTTCTACTATTATAATATTATATCGGCATAATATTGATATTATCGCAAAACATCGGTATATTTAGAGTTCAGATTTTATTTATTACTTATTGTATACAACACTCAGCGCACGAATTACAGCACAGATTCCTATTAACCTTGAATTTACTGTATTTATTAACTTATTACTTAATATTGAGAGGTATCGAAAATGAAGGTATGAAAATAATATAGTTTTGTGATGTCGTTTTCAATCCCTATTAATAACTTTCCGCTTTTACACTAATAGTTGTATTCCATCTTCGCATGTGCGAACATTGATTTCCACATTTGTTCCGTGGATGTTCGGGATGTATTAATTTGAATAACGCTATCGGATGAATTAATAATAAACAATTAGGTTAATTAGATCTCTAGATTGCCAGAAATGCGGACTGTTAATATAATAATTTGTTTGTATTATAATTATTAATTATATCGTAATTTGTCGGATAAAAATTAAATTGAGATACTCATGCACTTTCATGTTTACAGTTTTTTCACTCGTGTCTATAAAAAGCTGTCTTCGTTTTAAAAACAAAAAATAATAGTTTTTGAAAAAATGATTAAATTTCCAGCATTTTGACAGTTGCGCGCTTTGTAATTGTGCTTCGTTGATAGTATTGCAAATTTTATAAGGTATTTTTTATCCTCGGACGATAGTCATCTCTACGATTATTCTTTGCAAATCGCGATTTAGCGCATCGAAGCATCGCTAGTCATTCTCGATGCTGCAATTTATTAATGATGTTAATTCTAGGCAGAACAAAGGAAATATCTCACTGGCGGCTATCGATATTGCGTTTGTAAAATATGGATTACGCGGGAGATGTCCGTAACAGGTGCACACGGCTGGCCTCTCTCGATTTAATAATACAATATTCCATGTCCTATTGTATGCACGATCGGATAAATTTATTACGAGTCATAAAATCCTAAGCGACAAACAGGGCACGCGCATATCTAAAAGCTGTATAAATTATATAATACAATATACAAAAGTTGCAAATTGTTTTTAATTGTCATGACTTTCCTTTGTTGTTCAGCCACTTTTGTAATAACAAGTAGAATAATATAAAACTTTACGTACAATTTTTCATTATTATAGAAATTTTTATTAAACTGCAAAAATGCAACGCAATATGGGTTTTAAATAATTCGCAATTTTGATTTAATAAAACATATTTTAAAATTAAATTAATAAATAAAACTATATTTAATTTAATTATTATTACCATCGTCATTATATAATTGTTTTTGTTATTTCGTTATATAACTCTTACATGGAGCAGACTTTCGATGAAATATTCCGCAATCTTACGTTACATTCTACCGTTGATTGTTTTAGTCGGCAACACGCACCTTCGAGAGAACGCATCATCGCCCCGGTGCACTCTGTCACGCAATCTTTATGCAGCTTGTGCAACGCTTGCGCTAATCCGCATGGGATTCGTGATTTTTCTCGCGCGGGTCGCGCTCGCGCTGTTTTCGCGCGGCTATCGAAACGGAAGCAATAATTTGCTCGTGGCTAGCGACGGAGTTAACGAGGTACGAGCATACCGCCCGTTAACTTAACGCCAACCAAATATTATTTTTGCAATTTTCGCTGAATCCCGCTAACGAGCGCGCGTTCGTGCAAAAACGCTGACGTTCTGTTTCTCTCTCTCTCTCTCTCTCTCTCTCTCTCTCTCTCTCTCTCTCTCTCTGTTTTTGTCTCTAATATCGCGCGCGAAATTCTCTCAATGATTGCGACAAACGCGTTAATTCATCGTTTTATGATTTTTTTTAGACAGTAACTATTCCGGGGATTGAGAAACTCGAGGGGAAATTCCCCGAGAACAGGATTACCGTAGCAAGTGGGGAATCACTTTTTCCAACGCATTCAGCTAGGGTTAAAAAAACTTTCACAATATAAACTTTCACAATACACAAAAATACAGATAGGATTAAAGTCAAGCATTCCAGGTAGTTTTAGGATAAGTTTTAAATCTCAATTGAGGAATCCCTGTATGTCTAGCAATGTTTACACGACGTGGAATGATTTACGAAGACGCGAGGTGAATATGCAAGATTTGTACACCTATGACGCATGTCTTTTCCTCCTCATGCAGCTTCGTAGAGAGGTTTGAGGAGGGAGAAGAGAGGGCCGTAAGGCTGTTTCGACGAATTCGGGGTCCAGTTAAACGAGAGCCGGCTATAAAATAACTGACCAGCACTGTCGCCGACATCAGTACTATAACTCCGCTCGAACATGAAGGTAAGCATAACTCTCTCCTCTGCTTACTTTTCGTTGTCTTTCATGTCCCTCCTACTATCTCATTTAACATACTTTCTCGTATCATCTTTGGGAATTCTTTGCTTACTCATCGTTTTTTTTTTATGACAAGAATCTCTTTTTATTTTTCGTGTATATTTTTTGTATTCCCGTTGATTATCCTGTTTTTCACATTCCCGGAAACTATTGCTGTTAATTTGTAAATATAATTTTATTACATCAGTTTTTATAAAAATAGCAACGACGATATGTAACATGCATCGAGTAGCCTTGATCTGTTCTTTTTCTCTTTTTTTAAATAAGTATATGTGTGTGTGTGTGTGTGTGTGTGTGTGTGTGTGTGTGCGTGCGTGCGTGTGTGTGTGTGTGTGTGTGTGTGTGTGTGTGTGTGAAAATAATACTATAATGAATTAAACAATAAAAATTTGAAATCATTTTAATCTAGTAATATTATCTCTCCTTTTTGGTGCCATCCATCTCTCTTGATTAGAGGTATTTAAAATTTTAAATAATGTATGTCCTCGTTCTTATAATAATTCTTGGTTTTTAACTTTTTAAATATTCTACTTCTTTTTTCTACCACGTGAGAATCGCATAGACGTTAATTGCCGCTTTTTATTCAGCAAAAATCCAATCCTGAGAGACCGAAAGTGAATAATGCAGTGCAAGTTCTTCGGTGCATCGAGGCTGTTTCACGTCGTTAACGACCTCGGGGACCGTTTAAGAGTCTCCTAAGGTGATTCAATGTCTGTCTCCTCGTACATCCTCGCAAAAATTCACCGTTAATCCACTGCTAAACGCGTGCGAATCTTTTTGCGACTGTGCCGGCGGCATGCGCTTTTAAGTCGCGGGCGACTCGAGTCGCAAGACGAGGTAGAATTTCTTTACAAGAGTGAAAGGCGTCGGGAAATGTTGCCGTGGTAATGGTGACAATTGCGTAACATTTATGAAGGCGTGCGAGCTGTTGCTTAATAATAATTATCCTTCCCATGTTGACATCTAGAAACGACTCTTTGTTCCATTCTTGCCCAACAAAAAAAAAACGTTTTAATTTCTACTTAATGAACCGTTACCAAGCGATTAATTTATTGCTGCCAGTTATATAATCGTATTTAAATACATATATAAATCAAATTAATTCGATTAAGATGGTTCTTTAGTAAATCGAATTACCATAAAAATGTCTAATTTTTTTATATAATCAAGTTAAAAGTACCGAAATTGACGTGTGCAAAATTCTCCGGAAGGTTAACGATGAAATAAGAGAGAAAAAAATGTCGAAGTGTAACTTTTTACGTTTAACTTAGTGATAGATAGGGCTCACAGACGCTTCCTTGACTAATTGCATACAAATCTTACCATAGACTTTTCTCAAAAACAAGCTCATAATAGTTTAAAAAATTACGATTTTAATGGTCACAAAAAAGTAATAGGTCAACGGCTATTTTGGAAAGATATTTACGTGCATAAACTTGTATATAAATTTAACCTTAAATTAATCTTGTTTTCGTTTAATGAAGATGCAGCTCTTGATTTACTATCGTATGTTCCATACTGTTTCATTAGGATATACACGTAGTTTTAATTTTTCAAAATTATGCAGATATTTGTAATTTTGGGTGGGTCCTGGTAAAGCACCCCAAATTTTCGGCACTTTACTTTTTAAAGAATTTAAAGAACCATTTTATATTATTTATTTGGATTAAACAGGTACAATAGCATAGTTTATTAAGTTTTCCGGCTTGTCAAGAAATTACTGAGCATAATGCAATCGGATGTTTAATATACGGACATATTCACATATCTATATGTTAAATACCTACGTTTTCTTCCTTAAAAGAGCTAAATGTCTCTTGGCGAGGATAACGTCATTTCGGTCACCGCCCTTTGCGCTTTACCTTTCGCCAAAGTATAACGGGTATCGCGTGTATATCGCGTAGATATACTTCCTCTTAGTCGGAGAGAGAGAGAGAGAGAGAGAGAGAGGTCCATTCTATACCAATTAACATCCTAACTAACTCTCCGACATTAACCCGTTATGTACTAGCGTAACCATCTGGTCGCGGTCTTTAAGGAAGGGTGAGAGATCCTTTCGCTTTTGAGTTTGAACCAGCTAGTTGAAAGTGTTGTGGTTTATCTTTTCGACGAAATAAACTAGGAATTTTCAGAAAAGATCCAAATTCTAAAAATATTATATCTCTGACCGTGAAAATTATTTGTTAACTACCTTTTTATCAATTTTTTAAGATTAATACCTAAATTCTAAGCAGAATCGTAAGGCTCGTAACATATTCTTGTATGACTTGTAAGAATTTTTAAGTGCTTATATATCTATAAGAAAATATCGCGTATTCTCATACGTACATACATATACTTGTTCTTTTAATTTCAAGGTATAAAATGACATTGGTTACTCCAGTTTCAAGTATCAGTTTAGCGGCTGGTTTATCACAAAAAATACTTAATAGGTAATTACGCAATTCAATCTGATGGTAGTTGAAAGTAAATTTTCAATAAATTAAAATAGATAATAAATTAAAATAAATAATAGATAATAAATTAAAATATTTTAATAAATTAAAATAGATTAATTTTAATGTGTTTGAAGCAGGAAAACTAGAAAAAGAAGAGTTTGTGTATTTAGTCGTATATGTGATACTTATGAGTATATCTTATGCGTATATCTTTATATAATATTTTTTTACAGACAGTTTCTTATTATATATTATACAGTCATAAAATTTACAAGAAATCGTAGATATTTACGAATAATTATCTTATGATACATACGTATAAAATTAAAATACTAATCATAAGTTCTTACAAGTTTCTGCTTAGAAGTGACTCATAAGTATCACATATACGACTAAATACACAAACTTCTTTTTCTAGTTTCCCTGCTTCAAACACATTAAAATTAATCTATTTTAATTTATTATCTATTATTTATTTTAATTTATTATCTATTTTAATTTATTGAAAATTTACTTTCAACTACCATCAGATTGAATTGCGTAATTACCTATTAAGTATTTTTTGTGATAAACCAGCCGCTAAACTGATACTTGAAACTGGAGTAACCAATGTCATTTTATACCTTGAAGTTAAAAGAACAAGTATATGTATGTACGTATGAGAATACGCGATATTTTTTTTTTCACAGTGTGACATTGATCGTTAAGATGATTTCGTTTTTTACAATACATATGAATAATTCATTTGAATAACAACTTGAATGTTTACCTGCTAATAACTAATTTAAATATAAGACCTATATTAATTAATACTTATTAAACATCGTATTTCATAAACATCGTACCATAAAAACGTGTTTTCACGTTTCAAGTATTCGAGAATCGCAATAATTATAGAAGTGTCTCTTAATGCTCTATATAACTGCGTTTGAGAAATCGTTTGACACATTCTGTATAATTGATTTGATTTCAAAACAGTTCCATCCGCTGCGTCCCATTGGCCGTCCACTCTCTGTCTTTACCTACTAATGAGGCGTACGAGCACGCTCGATTCCCTGTTTCTGTTTTCCATAAGCCTGTAGGGGCCTTGCGCTGTTTCTATTTCCGATGGGGCCTACAGGAATTTCCATAGTCCAAGAGCACGAGCGCACACACGAGTCGAGTGGTGCATAACACGTATAATACGCACGCACTCGCTCGTTGATATTCACATCACGCGCTAAACATGCCCGCATACGATTCTGCGTTTCGGTAGCGCGATTATGAACGCAACCAGCTCGACAGTGGCAAACATTTAACCACGTATGCACGCACGACATTTAGCGTAGTGACCCGAGGCCATCCTGGATTCTGACACTTTGTTCGCAGTTGGCCTACGTATTTATGACAATTCGACCACTGTACGCGAATTTTCCGGATTTTAAAATTCCCATAAAATCCATAAATGATGATTTTGTATCTCATTCGGATCTCATTCTTACGTATAACACTCTAGTGAATATATTAAGATTATGCACCATCTTGAAAAAAAGAATGCATCAACAGCATTATTTTAATGGAAAATAATTTTATTAATTCATAACATTATTAATGAAACAAATACAGTATGCTCTTATTTTAATAAAATTCAATAACAGTATTAATGTTGAACTGAAAAACTCAATAATAGTATTAATGCACCATTTTGAAAAAAAGAATGCATCAATTTTTAATGCATTATTTTAATGGAAAATAATTTTATTAATTTATAACATTATTAATTTATAACATTATTAATGAAAAAAATATAGTATGCTCTTATTTCAATAAAATTCAATAACAGTATTAATGTTGAACTGAAAAACTCAATAATAGTATTAATGAATCATTAATACTATTATTGAGTTCATGAGATTATTCTCAATTAAAATAATGCTGTTTTGATACAACATTATGTTTTTCAGCGTAGATTTTTGGATATTCTTTCATACATTTTAAGAAATTGTTTTAATGCTCAATCTAGGTTCTGGCTCTATTTCTCCTCGTGGTAGCGGTAGTTTTGGCAGATGACAAGTATACGACAAAGTACGACAATGTCGATTTGGACACAATTTTGGGGAGTGACCGTTTGCTCAAAAACTATGTAAATTGCCTATTGGACAAGGGAAGTTGCACGCCCGATGGCAAAGAACTTAAAGGTGAGCGTTTTGAGATTTTACTAATTATTTTTCATTATTATTCTTGACCAGATTTTTTTATTCAAACGTCAATAATGTTACTTCAATCAAATATAACTCTCGTAATGCAAAGTAAGAGCAAAAAATATAGAAATTAAAAAAATACGAATCCGAATGGAATAACGTGTCTGATGTTGCATTTGGCGCGATAACGTGGCAAAACATGCACGATGAAGACGGTAATAACGATCTTTCACACGCTTTCTAATGCGCGGGAGAATCATCCTTGGCACTAATGGCCACCTCATTCCGTCTCATCTCGTCGAAGGCGAGGTCGTCTCGTTAACGATGTTACATATGTACGAAGCAGGCACATATCACTTCAGCTCCAGATATGAATAATATGCTACAAACGACTGCCATGCTGAGGAGATTTGGACAAAAAGTACCTTAGTGTCGTGAGACATTTTGCGTGTATACGTGTTTGCGGTTAGCGTTGCGAAGAACAAACGCGTCAGTTCTTTTCAGGTGAAAATATTGTTCACGAACATAACGTTTCCTCGCGCAAAAATCCTACATATACGGAGTCGAGACACGAAGACTAGAAACCAATTACTTGCTCGGTGTATTTCCGCAGATTGCATTTCCTGCAAATTGCATTAATTACTTGTCGCACGTATCACGATTTATTTCTCTACGTTAGAATCACGTTTATCGTCTGTTTCTTCTTGAAGTTCTTTTTACCTTGGCGTGCTACCCCGTCGCGAGATAAAACGTGCGATGGACGGTAATACGTTACCGAGAATGTATAGTCTTGTCTCAGAAAATTCACGAGAGATGCGGGGGTGTACAGTCAGCTGACCAGAGCAGGTGGTGCAAATGACGCGGAGTGATAAAAAAAGCTGAGACAAATCCTGCAGGACGTCGCGTATTTGAGAAATAACATACGTTATTATGAACTCCTGCAAAGAGCTCCGTCGCGATAAAAATCGCCTTATGAAAGGATATATTCGCTAAAATATTTATCGACGAAAAAAGAAAGGAATCAAATCGATATTTCGGAAGAAAGATAAAAAGGAAAAACGACTCTTGATTTTTTTGAAGAACCTTATAACTGCGTAATTTCATAACCCGAGCGTATGCTTCTATAACGAATTGAATTTCGCGCAGCCATGTCCCTGATCTGAATTCCTCTTGTAATTTTTTTTCTGTTCGTTTCAGAAACCCTTCCGGACGCACTGGCGAGCGAGTGTAGTAAATGCAGCGAGAAGCAAAAGAAGGGTACCGAGAAGGTCGTCCGGTATCTAGTCAACAAGGTATATGTTCGCGCTAACATGTATGTTCGCCCGTCACTTTTCACTGGGCTAATTAAACGCGAGGTCTGTGTAATGAGTTGATACCGGTGGGAGTAGGAACGCTCGGGGGATACGTCGAGGCGGTTTAAATGCCGTGGAACTAGTTTGACTTTCACGCAGAGACGGGTTAACCCTCCACATTGGGTAGCAAGGGGTGCCCCCGTGATTCGTTTGCGAACCACGCCTGGAAACTTTCGCATCCGTAGCCAAATAATTTAACGGCGATGTGAATCTCCTCGACCCTTCGAGCCCTTCTTTCGAGAACTGATTTCACCCTCGACTTGGCAGGTTTATCATTTCGATTTTAAAGAGGTTTCAAGCTATCTCGTTTTGAATATATTGCGTTTTACAACAATTTCTAAACATACGCGTTTTTCATGTAGTATTAATATGACGATTTAAAAAGATATTATTTTTAATGCATATAAGAGTTTGTCTTGGAAATTACTGGTCTCATCGCATTTTTACAATTGTGCATTATTGCTTTTGACTGAATTTCACGATAACGAAATGACGTAATGTAGCTCTATTTTAGTGCATTTCTCAATAGGAAGTATTAAAGTGAGAAAACTTTCTCACTTTAATACTTCCTATTAGAGTAAAAATCTTTGTGCAGCTTTATTTTATGTAGATGTAGCTAACGATACGTCTTCGATAAATGCAATCCTGTTACGCAAACTTGTTACAGAAGATACAAGGGCGATTGCTTATTCGATCTTTTACTTTATTTCAGAAACCGGAAACTTGGGAGCAACTTAAGAAGAAGTACGATCCCAGTGGCCAATACTCTACCAAGTATATAGACGAAGCACACAAGCAGGGAATAAATGTGTGAATAATTTAGATTCTCATCTCGCTGAGTAGAACGTCGAGAAATCTGTCCTCTCTTCTTCCCACAGCACATTCGAATTAAATAAATCCGTTAGTTCAGCGTCACGTAGAACTCTTTTTCAACAGAAATTCAGAAACTTATGAAGAAATACATGTTATTAGATGTTACTATAAATAATAAATGATAAGTGTAAAAGAATGTTATTGTGATTGAATTATAATAATTTAATTATCGTCATCGATCATTTAATCATCTGAAGTTCTTCTCAATAAAATTCTCTTGATCCTTCACCATTGTCTTGATGGACGAACTACGTTTGTATACCAGTCACGGCCGGCAATAATATATTTCTTGGCCGCGGCTCTTCTCCCGAAAGCAGTTCGACACTTCGGGAAGAGATAAATCTAGGCACAATGTCGAGAAAAGTTCCCTGGCCGAAGTTTGAGGTCCGAACGTCGCCCTTGAGACCACCTCGCTTAATTTCCTGACGCTGTCCAATACGAAATATATGTGCGCATACCTATACGGACTGTAACTTCGCCATTCTCCGAAACTCACCGGAAACAGACGGCGATTTTGTATTTCCATGCTAGATCGAGGCCGAGCGAAGCGTCCCGATCCTTTACTCAAGGAGCTCGTTCTTCCTCTGCCTCTCATCCATCTCCAGGGAAAACGGAGAGCATATTTCATCGTCGAAGAACAAGAACAACATCGGACGATAATCGATATCGTTCAGTCAGGTAACAACTGGAGTCAACTTCTTGAAGTTATCGAAGTTGCATAAGGACTAACGAGAACGGCTTCACGCCTTGCGTGTTCGCGTTTGCTCGCAGATCAAGTCTGTCATTTTGAAAAACCGATGAGTGTTCGTAGCGTTCGCACCAATATTTAAATTAAGCGAAGAACCTTTTTTTTATCCATGTTTGTCTTCGACGTGATAATTCCCGTCCCGGCTCGCGTGTTATTAAATTAAAGAAGTTAAGAGTTCACCGAGATGGGCCGACAAGTACACATGCATAATAATTACCCCCTTCGTTGCGCTTCCTTTGCCACACCCTTCTGTTTCCTCCCACCTCGTACAACGAACTTTGCCGACGACGCGCGCGTTAAATATGTAAATGAATTACGAGATTAGTGTATAGTCAACTTAAGCAGTCGATTTAAATGCACAGCGACGGACCGAAGGCACGAGGCAATGAAGAGGGAGAGCGAGGGTGGTCGAGGGTCACTCAAGCGATTTGGATCACGCAAATCGAGGGGGAAAATTTGCGAAAGGCCAATTCGAGAGGAGAGGAGTGAATTTGCGGTGGTGGTGGTGGCGATCCGAGAAAACCGAAAATTCAATCTTCGCGTGTCGCCACTTGACAAGAACTCTCTCGCTCCTTTAGACACCCTCCCTTTCTCGTCGATCGGATTGAAATCCGAATGTCGTCGACTCGTTGGGGTGCACTCGTAGGAAACGGATTTCGGGACTTCAACAGGTTGGGAATTCCTCACGCATCCTTTGAAGCATCTGTCGACAGTGCCAGTTGATTGCTCCCATTGCATTTTTCTCCCTTTTCTTATTCTCGTTAAAATGAAAATTACAATCGCGATTGTATTGCGAAGGGAACTGTTTGTTTCGCTGAATATGTCGGATACTTGGGTAGGTGTACCTCCAGTATTTTGAAATAAAAAACTAACACACATATTACTAGGTATTTCTATTGTAAGGAACAACTAAAAAACTTTTTTACAAAAAGTTTCCAAACTTCCACATGAGTACCTTCAGTTCTTCTAAGTCGTTGGATCGACCGAGGGAGCCTCATTTCCTGGTCACCTCATTCCTTTGACACTCCCTCCCTTGGATTTCTTTTTTTGGGGATATATCAAGAACTTGGTGGACGTTTAGATCACAAAGGTACCGAACGTGAATGTTTTGCGCAATTGTGGCCGTCATTGGCACCATAACTAATGACATACTTCAGCACATTTGGTATGAAATGGAATATATACCTGCTTTTTGCCTAAAAGTGCTCATGCGGAAATGTGGTAATTTTTTGTAAAAATTAAAAAAATTTTTTACAATAAAAGTACCTAAAAATATGTATCTGTTTTTATTTTTAAAAACAAGGTTTATCATGTACAGCAGGTGTATTTTGCAAGTAACAGACAATTAAAAATGCTTGCAGGAAAATCGTGATAAAAATGCATCAAGACAGTGATGAAGCTTGAAATTATGTTATGAATTAAAGCTTGCATAACGTGAATAATCTCGAAACTCTATATTAAATTATAAAATACCGGTAACAAGCACGTCACTGTCCATTAAACGTCACGAATCGATTTCAACCATTCTAATGTGAAAATATCGCGTTTGATGAACTCCAATTAATCTCTGCTTCATACAAAGTACGCATCGTATAAAATTGCTGAGATTGCGTTATGTTATTTAAATCGCAACTCTGCTCTGTTATATCTATTTTAGTTAAATTTTATTATTTTATTCGTTACACTTATTTTTCTCTTTCTTTTTCCGTTCTCTGTATTGATAATCATTTGTTACCGTTGTTTTTTTATTGAAATGTAGAAGTATAACGTTTCGTTGAAATACTGTAAAAAATTTTGCAACAAATTTTGCAAAAATTCTTGCAATAAATTTGAAAATCCCACACAATTATTTTGACATCTCAACATGATTAATTAACTAAATTTTTAGATACTTCAACAACATCGTTATTTTTGTGTATGAACTGTACACTGAAAAAAACAAAATTTTAGTAAATATTTAAATAGTTTTGAGTAAATATTTACTAAACATGAACATATATAATTTATTTGATATAAAAAACCATTATATAATTTGATTTAACTATTATTTTTTAATAATTTTTAAATTAAATATCTTTCTACTATAAGTAAATATTTACTTAATACTATTCAAAGAAATATGTATTGTGGTTTAGTAAATTTTTTTAGTGTACGATGCTTTTTCGGTAAGAGGTATATTACACGAGAATTTCTAAATATCGAGGAATATTATAATTATATTTGTAGGGACAAAAAGCGGCAAGTTAAGCGTAAACAAGGTCTCTCGATAAGTGACCTTGTTTACGCTCGATAAACATTCGAAGTGCGACGCTTCGCGGTAGCGGAGCTCTTCCTCTTCGCAAAATTCCTCACACGCGCGCCGAAATATCAGGAGGAATGTATCGAAAATATCTTCATATTTCAAGTATTACGCGACATTTCGAAATTGCAGAACAACTCAATTAAAGACGCCAAGTCGAGCGTTGCTTAAAAAAGGATCACATTTGCCGAATTTAATCGAAACGCGATACTTTCGCGTTCATTGATGTGCGTTGTATTTTAATTCATGTTTTTTCATTACCTGACAAAAAAGAAATGAAGCAAATATGTTTCAGAATGTTTCCGGACCATTTCTTGACGTAGAACGAGATCGGAATGTATAGAATGCTGTATTCTTGAAACGCGTAGTAAAATTTTGAAATTTCCAATCGCGCGGGCTGAGTGTCGAGCCGAGCGCATCCGAGTAATAACGGAACTAATCGAAAACGTATTTGAAATCGGGAACGCAGTTATTCGCTATATATATATATATAGCTATATATATATATATATATATATAGCTCGCGGTTTTTAGAGTCCCTATAATAGGGAGTCTGGGCGATCATCTAGTTAGAAATAAAATGGCGTACGTATATGCGCAGTATATGTGCTCAGTCATCAATTTTGGAGACCCTCTAAGGCCGGAATCAGATGCATTGAAGATTGAGATTGAAGATTGAAAAATTTAAATTCGACCAATCGAAATGAAAGGAGCTAAAATTTCTTTGTCCTTATTGGTTAAATTTCAATCTTTCAATCTTCAATCTCAATCTTTAATGCCTAGTCTGATTCCGGCCTAATCAGAGTCGCGACATCAAAACAGCCACTTTTGATTGGTTCGCCATTTTTTATCAATTCCCACTTATATTCAAATACTTATATTTGTATCACTTCTTAATTTAAACAATACAACGAATTTATAAGGAATTAATAAAATTTTTTATACTATATGTTGAAAAACACAAATGTTACTTAACCTTGCAGAGAAACGAATCGTTTTTTAGCGTCCAATTTATTCTCGCAACATTTTTTGCCCATAAAGCACGACGTTCACTGTCTCTGGGAAATACTTTCATTTTATAACCTTTGGCTATTGAATTATTACAAAAGGGGGCTGTACAGCCAACAATTTTTTAATAATTTATTTAACACGTGTTTCACAGTGTTTCATTCCTACGAATTAAAATTTAATTTTAGATATGTGTGAACGTTAGAGAAAGATAGTATATATGTTTCTCTCTCGTGTGATTTTTTGATAAAACTAGAGACCTTGTAGAGAAAGAGAAATCTGTAATGTCTAATTCACACAGCAAGCGTCAAGCAGCGGAGCGGCAACCAATCAGCGAGGCGATATTTACAATGGCGTAAACAATATCGCCTTGCTGGTTGGTTGTTGCTCCGCTGCTTAACGCTTGCTGCGTCCAGTATGAATTAAGCCTGCGGCACACATGCTTATTTCCCTGCTGGATACCTAGCTGGATTAGAATATTGCCATCGTATTGGCTA